TATTGTGTGTGTGGCCAGCTCAGCCCACCAGGGGGCGGGACTGGCTGGCATGTGGTGCTGGGGTTCGAACTGCGGTCCCTATGCTTTGTCAAGCTTGTTCCAAGTAGGTGCTTTAGACCACTGAGCCATCTCTCCAGCCCTGACCTAGCAGTCTTAAGTGAGCAAAAGCAATTCCATGTAGTCAAGAGGTTTTACCATATCAGCAAATCACACTCTCAGTGAGTCCTTTTACAGAAACTGATCAAATTCTATGGTTTTATAAGTACCACGACCTAGATACTGTGGGCATAGCATGTAGCCTCTGGTCTTCTAACTTCACTCTTCCTGCATGACTCAAGATTATTCTAGCATTGGTTGGTTAATTTAAATATTTCTTTTAAACTTTCTGTTATGTGCCAAACTTTCTTCAGGGCTCCTCACTGGTTCCCTCCCTGGCCTGTATGGTCCTCTTTGGTTAAGCTTCAAAACAAAAATAATACTCAGTAATTTTTCCACATACTAAATATGGTGCAGTAGACCTACAACAGATTTATTACTAGTAGTTTTACAATGTTTTTACTTTCAGAATTACCTAGAAAATTTAGTTTGCCTGACAATAGTGATGGTACCTCTCACATTTTTTGCCTAACTTTATTCTTTGTGTTCCTTGGCTTTTCTGAAATATAAAGGGGTAGAATGGAAATTTTGATGTCAAATAATTAAACATGAGCAACTTAATAAGACATAGAGACCCAACTTTTATTTCCATGTTAAAAAAATCATTTTTATTATCGTAATCTTTTTATGTACAATTCCTTGGGCTTTACAGTACCCGCACACACTTTATATTCTTCTCCTAACACACCTGTGACTTTGATCCAGCAGGTACTGGTGTTAGTATTTACAAGTGAGAACCTGGCCCTGAGAATGCCTTATCCAAGATCACAGTCACACCGAGCTAGCAAGTGCAAAAGTCACTTGCACTGCAGATGGGCTTGACATTTTGAAATGCTCACTGGGAGAGATGTCTGACCATTAGGCATTTATCCATCATGTATCTGCTAACTTGGCAACAGAGTGCTCAAGAAACCAAACACAGGGCTGTTGCTTTCATCATCATCTTAACTTTGGAAAGTCATTAGCATTGTTTCAACAGCCATTATGAACTTGAGTGAAGCCCATCAGATTAGGTTTCTAATAGCAGACCATGATTTTGAGAAGGAGAAGTCTCTCCAGCTGCCTTTTGGGAAGCTTAACAGCACAGATTTCGCCTGGCAGAGGATATAAGATCCAGCATCAGTTCTGATGGCTTATGGATAAGAAAAATGACAAAAGATATTGCATATCTTATAAGATGGTAACATGATAATACTGCCTGTAGAAGTAGATGTGAATTCAAATCCTGGCACTTGTGAAACTGAGCACGATGCTTATAGGAGGATTAGGTGATGTAACATACAGGATGCACACATTGCCACGGCTGGCACATAATCACTTTCTCAGAAAGTGGCATCAGCAGTTGAGTTTTTCCATTTTGAGTCATCCTATAAAATTTTAGAAGGTAGAGCAGACCAAATAGCTCAGCAGATTAAAGCACCTGCAAGCAGGCACGGGGGCCAAGGTTTGATCCCCAGGCCTGCCTTGTTGGCTCTGCTCCCAGGGCATATTGAGACAGCAGTTGAGACTGGGCGTGGTGGTGCGCGCCTATAATCCCAGCTCTTGGGAGGCTGTAAACAGGTGGATCACTATGAGTCTGATCTACTAGTGAGACCCTGAACACCCTGTAGACCCTTCCCTAAAATACAAAGCACAAATTTTTAGAAGGTAAGAATTTGCCACTTCTTTGGACCGTAATAGCCAATCTGTTAGTACTGATGGAGCAGCTATTGTTACACCTTTCAAAAATTTTGTTTTCTTAGTATTACTTTAAATGTAATTATTACTTTAACAGTAAAGAATAACTTAGTATTACTTTATACAGAGAAGAAAGAATAAAGGGCAGTGCCATTGACAAGAGTAGACTAGTGTATACATCAGACTTCTCTGTTTACAGCCCCACCACACTCCTAACTGTCAAGCAATATGAGTTACTGAAAGGGTATACTATAACAAGTTATCTTACATAGCCACAACAAAAGCAATGAAATTAAAAATCTTCCCACATTTATTTTGCCCTACACACTGGTCCCTCAGTGCCAGGGATGAGTGAAGAGTCCACTGATCAACACAGAGTGATTGCTGTGTGCTGAATACTGTGCTGAGCACTAGTCCTTCCTGTAGCCCTCTGAGGTGGGCACTCTAATGATCAACGCTTTCAGATGAACAGTGGAGGCTTAGAAAAAGGAAGATCTTTGACCAAGATAACATACGTAATTGAACAAGAGCCAGAATTTTAGTCTAGGCCAGACGATACTATAATTGATGTGTCCAGCCACTGTGCTTTCCTACATTAAGTTAAAAATGGGAGTTGGGCATGGTGTCACACACCAGTAATCCTACACTGAGGGGGGTGCTGAAGTAGGAGGACTGATAGGAACTCTACAGCCTATACTGCATAGTGAGTCCAAGGCTAGTCTGAAATAAGTGAAAATCTGTCCTGGAGGGAGGGAGGGTAAATGAAGCAGCCATGGTGGTGCACACTTGTAGTCCCAGCATTTGGGAGGCTGTGACAGGATTATTGTGAGTTGAGAGTTAACCTTGGATACACAGTGAATTCAGGGCAAACTCAAGACCCTGCCTCAGAAAGCAAAACAAATGAAAGAAGACAAGTGAAACAGTATGTGCACACACTTGTAGTTCCTATATGAGGAGTAATATGCAGTATTAGTCTGATCTGTCACTTACTTAAAATGGCACCAGACTAGCTTTTAAAGAAAACCACGTTAAGAGTGATTAGGTTGATCAGATATAAATGCACCAAAATAGCTTTAGCACTGATGAATCTAAATGCCCATTTCTGAGCAGTTTAAATTTTTCCTTAACATTTTTTTCTGTGCATGTCAGTGTATCTATTACATCATAGTTTATTTTAAACCATGGATCTTTTGAGTTTAGATGAATGCACAGTATTATTTTAATTAAGAATTACTCTAGGGCCAGAGAGATGGCTCAGTAGAATAAGCACTTCCCTGGCAGGCGCAAGGGCCTGAGTTCAATCCCTGGTTTCACAAAAAAAAAAAAAAATTACTCTAGGCATTATAAGTGTGTATTGGATAAAGAATCATAAGAAAACATCTTAGTAGTTGCATTATTGGGATTAAACATTGATATGTATAATCAGCTGTTGGTCTTGTTTGAGGTTCAGTCCGGGACCCCTCACATGCTAGCAAGCATTCAGCCATGGAGCTGCACCCCCATCAGTGTCTATCATTTTAGGTAGAAAATAAGCCACATCCATGTGTCAAACAGGGGAATGTGCTTTGTTTTTCTGGTGCTGAAGAGCAAACGCAGAGGCTCACATGTGCTATTCAAGCATGAAGCATGCAACTATGACTGAGCTACATCCCTCACCCCCACTTTTTTTTTTAAAGTTTTTATTTGGTACAGGGGCTCACTATGCAGCTCAGACCTGTATGATCCACCTGTCTCAGCCTCTCCAGCACTGGGATTACATGTGTGCACCATAATGCCCAGTTTCAGTGGCCAGCTTGGTGCCTGGGCCAACACAGCACGTGGTACCAGGGATTGAATCCGGGTCCTTGCGCTTGCCAGGCAGGTGCTTAGACCCCTGAGCTATCTTCCCAGATCTGGTAAGGTCCCCAGGCTGACCTTAAACTTGTGATCCTCCTGCTTAGCTCCCCAGGTAGCTGGATTGATAGGCACTACCACTGGCAGCATTCTGTTTTCATATTTGACTTTTTTTTAATTAGAATATGATCTGGCTGGCACAGTAGTGTTTTATCCCCAACTCACACCACTAGCATATATAGATAAATAGGACCAGAAGTATCCTACAGTATGCATGGCTTTGGCAACCACACTGACAGGAATAGAAATTTTTTTGTGTATTTTAGGGAAGAGTCCACAGGTTGTTCAGGGTCTCACTACTAGATCGGACTCATAGTGATCTGCCTGTTTACAGCCTCCCAAGAGCTGGGATTACAGGCGCGCACCACCATGCCCAGTCTTGATTGCTGTCTCAGTGCGCCCTGGGGGCAGAGCTGGCACAGCAGGCCCAGGACTCAAACCCCCGGCTTTAATCCACTATTTGGCTGGCCCTCGGAGTGGAAATTTTGGCCCTACCACTTGAGAACTAATCATGAAAGTCTCAGCCTCCCAGACCTTTGC